TCGTCATGAAACAATCTTATGGCGGAGATAAAAGGTATTAAGCCTTTTTTCCAGTACTTGGTCACTATCCCTTGAGCCATAAGGAAACAGACTGTACTACACTAAAACAAGATGAACAACTCAGGTCTATGAATGAGGTATTTTTAATAGCATCTCAAAATGTGTAGAGTAGACTATCCCATTTTGTGTAAATTGATATTTATTTTAATGTTTGCTTTTAGAGTTCAAGTATTGGGCTGAATTCCTATTGTAATTTTTTCTAGCGTACAGCAATTGCATCAGTTTGATTTACTTATGTGTTAGCTCACCATTCAGGAATTGAATGAACAGGTTTACACATTCATCAACATTCCATGGATATAAACTGGGGCAATTGTAGCCAGCAACATCAGAGTGCGGTCAAGTTTACAAGAAACTATAAGAATCTGCAGTAGCTTGCTTTTGCTAGAGACTATTGGGTTAACTAAGAGCTCATCAACAAGGGCCACTCAAACTAGAGCCAGATTAGAGCAGAAATGTTCTGTAATGGCCCTGAAGTTCATGTCACACATATTTCATTCTCAACATGCAGCGGAGCAGAGTCCGGATGGTCCAGTTGGGCCAAGACTGATCCCTTGTCATCTGTGTCATTATCACTGCTCCCAGATAGCCACAGAGCTCCATGAGAGAAATTGTTTGTCATACCACCCTTAATGAATAGTAAAAAAGAAGCTGGTACATTTTTAAAGCAACTGAGAAATTGGGATGGCAGAGGATTAATCAGCATTATTCCATTTAGATAGGGATAGTTGGTAGGTATGGGTTTACTCTGACTGAGACAAAACAAGAGGATTTCAAGGATTGCATATAAGTCATACCTGGAAATTCCTAGGCAAGCCACAAATGAAACACAGATTGTATGGTAAATTGACAGAGCAGGAATCAAATTTGGGCATTTATTGACTTGAAACAATTCAGATTATTTATATTAAATATACAATTTACAAGTAACACATCATTTCAGAAGAGCTGCGGCAACAGGGATTTCTTGTTTGTCCCTATCTCACCTGTGCAGTATGTATTAGAGTGACAGCCGTTAATTCTCCATTTATTCACTTATTTAGGTCAAGTGTCTCAGTCTGTGACCTCAAGGTTAGGAAAGCTGAGAATTTCCCTGCTAAACAAGGACTCATTATACATCTGAAACAAGCACAAAGAGTTGGCTTTGTTTGCTGGAATAATTCCTCTTACTTCAGCAGAACTTCATGTCCAGAGTATCACAATAGGATGTACTGAAGGTAAGGATTTTAAACACCCAGCTCTATTAAAATGTGTCCAAGGGAGCTGCTTTCTTTCTAAAATTTTGTCCTCAGAAGCCATGGGAAGTGGTCAAATAAGCTGAAAGGAAGACAACTGGTGTATTAACTTTTTGCATTTCAACCACCTGGACAGAAGTCTGATTTTGAATGGGTGCCAAAAGGTGGGATCATCTAACTGACTATGTTATAGCTATTAAAAAAATTACCCATGTCTAGTAACAGGAACCTCTGACCAGCTGGGTGGTTATATCCAAGCTGGAGAATTATAACAGTTTGACATCATATTAACTACAATGGCACAATGCTATGGAATTCTGGAATTTGTAGTTTTGCTCTGTCAGAGAGCTCTAGTGCCACAACAAACTACAAATCCTAAGATTCCATAGGATGGAGCAGTTAAAGTAGTGTGAAACTGCTATAATTCTACAACATAGATGGTAGGCACACTGAAGAACAAATTCCTGCTGAAACAATCAAAAGACAAGAAGAAGTCTTGCAGAAGAGTAAGTGTGGCTTTTGTATCACACCTCAAGCAACAAGGAGAGGCAGGCAACGAATATATTAGTATGACTGCTACTATTACCTTTGTATAGAGACATGTCACTAAACCAGCATCCTGCATTGTAACATGAGACTCCACCTGTGCAGTCCCGCATCAAAGAGGTATTGAATATCTCCTCCTGCAATATCCAAAAATAGGACACACACACAGAGTCCAGCATGGTTCTGAGCCTAATTCTTTAATTATATGGACAAACATGTGGCTGAGGATTTTTGATGCACACAAAATACTAATGACCTTATCACATTAAGCCCCCAATTCCAGTGAGGCCTGGCGTGGGAAACCTGTCACCTCATCCTGCATCGCCCACCTTTCCCCTCACCTCATTCCATAGGGAAAAGCCTCACCACCACCTAGCTTCCCTCTGTTGTTTTTAATACAACACGGGAATTCCTTCATGTTGCCACCCCACTGCCTATGCCAATTTCACCCCTCTTCAGGCATGGATCAGAAATAGATGAAAGAATATTATGGGAGCTGGCAGGCTACGTGCCTGAAGAGGGGTGAAATCAGAATACAATGGGCAATTCTGATGAGATGGTTAGTCAAACTTGCAGAAAATTCTCAATGATATACAATCGGTTCCAAGGAAGAAAGTTAAAAATAGCTTAGAACACACCACAAAAAGGGGGGGGGGGGAAGCAACATGTCTAAATCATGACTCATTGGCTAGGAACTGAAAACCACCTCCAAATCCTGACACCAAACTCTGGGTTCTTTGGAGATATTCGGGAGACATATTCTCTAACGTGTAAAACTACACTGAAATAATGATCGAAGTATCCCACCAATGCACAAGCTAAGGATGATTTAATTTAATATTCTATGGGTTAAACAAAGCATGGTGTATTTTTTTTTACCCACACATGTTCACAGGAGTGCAGTTTAAATAGAACCTACTTGATTGTCAATGAGTTTAATACATACACTCAGTTTATACCTCAATTCAGAGGATTCCACAAGAATATGAAGGGGGTGGTCCTTTTGATAGGAAAGTTGGATTTAGTGGTTTGGTGAGTAAAAAAGAAAACAGATTTCAAAAGTTCCCTATGTATATAACCAAGGCTAGAGCAGTGTAGTTCAGGATAACTTTGTGGTTGCTATTCTGTGTCTTTGAGTCATTTCCAATCATGGAGATCCCAAGGAAACTGGTGACAACATTCATCAGCAAGATTTGTTCAGAGGAAGCTTGTCATTACCTTCCTCCAAAGCTGAAAGAGCTTGATTTTCCCAGGATCTCTCAGTGGGTTTCCACGGCTGAGTGGCAATTCATTCCCAGATTCCTAGACCAACGCACTCAAATCGCTACACCATGCTGGCTCTCGAGAATTAATTTTTGAATGCAAACATATGCTCTGCATTGTTTGGGGTATTAATAACAAATACAAGATCCCATCTGGCTCTGCTTCTTTGAGATTATAGTTTTACTTGGAAGGCTTAAAAGTATTAGAAGTCTGTGCAGAGATCAAATATGTGGTGTTAATTTTTCAAGAGCCCATTTGTGTAGGAGGATATGCTTCTCCTTTCTTAATTGCTTTTTAAGTGGATTCTGGCACACCAACAACAGTATATTTGAGGACTGTGGGAAAGATACTACTATGGCAGGGCACATGTACTGTATACCATTGCATTGCTGCCAACAATATTTCCTGTGCAATACTGGTTTTAATCTTGTCCTACTCTTCCAAACACAGATGTTTGGGATTCTGTTGGGTATTTTTTAGCCTAATTGGGGTAATGGTCAATTTATGAGTACTAAGGCATTGTTCTAGCATAGCCTAACATAGAACACTCTACTTTTCTGTACCATCAAAGAACATTATAAGCCATTGATACTTTCAAATAGCCCCTATTATTGTCTTTACTAATTGTCTTTACTAATGCCTGGAGGATAAAGGTCTTAGATTAAGAGTGAACTATCTTTTAAGCCTGGCTCAACATTGCTGACCTTTTCTCCACAAGCATGGATTACAATATTGTTATGATATTTATTTTTGGTGGCCGTCTGTCAGGAATGTTTTTATTATGTGTTCCAGCATAGCAGGGAGTTGGACTGGATGGCTGTTGTGGTCTCTTCCAACTCTATGATTTTATGATTCTGTTACAGTGGGTACCAACTTTTTTTTTACCAGGGACCACTTGACTAGGGACCACTTTGACCAGGGACCACTCTCCAACCAAAAGGGTTAGGAATCCGTTTTTGGTCAACTTTAGATTCGGTTTGGGGTGCTGATTCAGAAAATTGTATTGGATAAACCACATCAACTCTAGTTTCTGAAACAGAACATATGCCATGGTCAGTGACAGGGAAGGAGTGGCAGACAGCGTGAATGGAGCGGAAATAAAATAAATAAATAAATAAATAAATAAAGCGGAAGGAGGTTTGCAGACCAAATTTTATCCTCACAGGTGTTCCATGGCCCACAGATTAAGAAACACAGTTCTATCACAATACTCTGGAGATTGACAACTCAGCAGGACTCTCAAGAATTCCCAAAGGAACTAAACCACAGGGCAATCAACTCATGTCTATTAACTCAGGGCAAGGCTTCATTGGTTGATAAATTTGGAACAGTCTAGCAGTGGTGAATTGAAGTCCATGTGTTCCAGCCTGCTTCATTGGTCCTGCTGGACCATCACTTATCATCCATGTTGCTGTCACTACTCCCAGATAGCCACAGAGCTCTGTTTTGTGGATGTCCATATTGGAGGCAGAGGAGAGGAGGCCACACATCACCTTCTTCCCTGGTCACACAGGCACCTCTACTGATGTCAGCATAGGGCATCCATCGATGGCCAGACTGTAGCCATTTGGGAGCAGCTGCAGCAGAGATAATGGGCCTCTTCCTCATTTTCCCTGCAATGTGATGCCTGATATGAACAGCAGACCGGTCCAAATTAAACCCAATCCTGCTGTCTACATTGCTCCTAAAATGTATCTCCTGACTTTTCCTCACACAAGGCTAAACGGACTAACCCACTTTGCCTGGCAAGACTTACTGAAAGTGCAAGAACATTGTGGATACAGGCTGTGAACTCAGGATGAGTATGGGTTATAATGCCCATGCAAATGAAGACTGGGTCTCTTAAGATCTATTAATTATTATTTGTTTTGCCTCCTCATCCAATAGCTCCAAATTCCTGCTGCATTACACTATCCTCCTCAGCTGCTGCACTGCACTCTGACTGCAAGCTCTTTGGGGTGAGAGATGAAACCTTGCTGTGAACAGGAGCAGCCAGTCTGCACTGCGTGTGAAAGAGCCTCTGCCTGGCAGGTTCGGGAACAATGCCTTTGCAAGCCAAGAGCCCACCTGGAGGAGGCACCCTGGGATCTCCAATGAAGTGAAACTTGATGCTTTTCAGCAAAGACACACCTCTTTCAGGGTGGTGTTGTGCAAATTTCTCTATTTTAAACCTAGGGACAGGAAACATGAAATGGGACATAGCCTGAAGTTTACTAGCACATGATAAAAAAGAGAATCAGAGGCTTGCAATGAAGCCCTTGTCACAAATATCCTGGATTGTCAGGAGCTTGGACATTTGAGGAAGTTGCTGCTTCACTACACAAACAGTTGGTAGGGTTTTCTTTTGGGGGGAGGGGGGGTTGTTTTGTTGTTGATTTTTCCAAAACAGCATTGACATTGCTCCTTCTGTCTGGAACAGCTTTACAAGACTTTTGTTTTTTCCGTTTTTGCTTCTCATGCTTTATTATTTCCTGACTCTCTAGTGGGATGGGTTTCTTTCAAAAGATTCTGATTCCTTCAGTAGCATTGGTCCTGGCTGTCTGTTTTTATTCAAGAAAGGAAGACTTTAAACCTGGTAAGTTATTCAAAACAAAGGCATTTTAGGATAAAACAGGGAGCGGGGGAGAAGGGACCTTGCCGGAATGCCTTTTTAAAGAGAAAGAGGGAAAAAAACTGGTGTAAATCCTTAAACAAAACATGCCTAGGCATTTCTTGTATTGCTGGTAATAGATGACTTGGCAAGGCTGTGAAATACATTAAGTGACAGGCAACCTTCCCCACCCTGCATCCAGCAAACAGGTGAGATAGAAGGGTTGTGGTTTGGGTTTTCCAAGAGAATTGATAGTTTCTCAGTTTTAGAGAGATGAAAAGATTTTTAATAGTGTTAAAGGCAAAAAGGAATGTTGTTTCATTGTATGCCTGCTTCAAAACATCCAGAACATCAAATATGCAAAATGGCTTTTAAAAAAGGAATGCTTGTTCTATATTCAATGAGAGGATTCTTAAAAATTACAGACCTCCCTCTTGGCATACCTCTGTGCCCTGGTGGAATGTTAGCAATTCTTGTTCCTAGCAATTTCTTGGGAGGAGAATGTGGGCTCAATCGGATGACTGTTGGCACCAGGCACTTCATTTGGAAGCTGACATGTAGGGTTTTCCTTTTAAGTTTCTTACCCTTTAGAGATTTACTTAGAGTGGGGAAAAGATTTAATGGCATATTTGTCAATAGCTATTTCTGTATTTTACTTTCAGAAATGCTGAAAGGGAAATATGTGATTGTTACTGGGGCAAGCACTGGAATCGGCGAGCAGATGGCGTACCACCTGGCGCGCATGGGTTCCCACATACTAATCACTGCACGGACAGAAGCCAAGCTCCAAAAAGTAAATGTCAAATGCTCAAATACACATGTCTTTCCCCAGAAATATTCCTTTAAAGGCAATCTTCCAACTATTACTGTAACCATGTGAACACTGAATTCATATTTGTGTAAGTCGTGATAAACTGGGAGAGAGGGAAAGAAATCATCACTGCATACTTTGTAAGTATCCATATTTATTGGGCAGAATGAATAGTCTTCCAAATCTTACAGTACATTTTCTACAGCAGATTGCTTTTAACCATATTGCATATAGCTAGTAGGGAGTGTGTCAACATGAATGCATTTAGGTGCTTCTAACTGGAGCACAATTGGTAAAAAGGGGATTTTCCAAAATGAATGGGCAATCACCAATGTAGTACTCTTCCCTTTTAAAACTTATCTTATTTTGTATTACTTATGTTAAAAGGTTTGTAGAGTAATGGAAAAAACCACATGGTAGTTTCCCATAGGATAAGTTCACAAATACAAGACTACACTAAGCATTTTCAAAATATTAACACACCATACATTTGTCATTTTCATATACACGAGGGTGTGGGGCCTAAGTATATCTGTGGCCTTGTTTACATCCATCAAAGATTAATTCCCAAATTTGTCATTACAAGGGAGGGGTGTGTGACAGTCCAATATACAAGTATTGTATCAAAATACCTATAAGGCTAAAACTCTATGCTGATTTGCTTTTTGAACCTTCTAATGCATATGCATTCTGGTTAGAGCTAACACTATTACTCAATTACAGTGACACTTCCAATCACATGTTTTATCTACATATACTGCAAGCACACATTGTTATTGATTTTTTTATAGTCACTGGTTTTATCATACACACACACACACACACATTATATATATATATATATTGCATGCAATGGGTGACACCAGCCCTAATGATGCCACTGGATTTATAATATTTTGTTTTAAATCAATGGTCAGATCCAGCTGATGGTGGCAGAAGTCTAGGCCCACATGTGGATGAGCATCAAGTGAAGTGGATGCCATCTAATAGACCTACAGTTCCATTAACAGGCATGAGGCCTACTGAAAAGAGAATATGCAGAATATGTACCAATGCAAGCCACAGGCATTTTAATATGGATACCTCTCTTGCACAACCATGGTATCCAGTACAAAGAGCACATATTGCAAATGGAACATAACTGTTTCAGGGATTATTTACACTACACTTTGCCAAAAAGTGTTCTGTGCCTTTGGACAATACTCTAAAATCTACCACTTTTATAGAGGCAAAACAGTTATTCCTGGTTCTGATAATCCATTTTAGTTTTAACAACTTAGGCTGTGATTTGGACCAACTGACGATCAGGTTCACCCATGTGAGAATCTGGCAAGTAGCAGATGTTGGGATTTGTTGCACATACCATGGAGTCTCTATCCTTGGTGAATGGGAGGCTTTAAAAATTGGAGTATTTTGAAGCCAACAATATGACTACTCAAGATACATTATAAACACAATGCTCAAGATTCTCTTGACCATCCTGATTCTTCACAAGGAGGGACAAACTAGAAGCATCCACTAGGGTTATCAGTCTGGTAATAATGTTATTTATTTGCTGTGAGTATACAGGCAGTCTCCGAGTTACAAACATCCAACTTACATCCAACTCATAATTAAGAACCAGAGTAAGACAACAGGAAGTGAGAGAAATCTACCCCTCAGAAGGGAAATCTACTCCTGAAAGAGTTATAGTGGGGAAAAGGTGTAGCCACTGAAGCCTGCAAAACCTATATTGTTCGTAACTTTGTAACTACCTGTATATGAGTCCAGGATCCTGTCTAGCTGAACCATTGAATTAATTTTATAGGAACAATAATGAACACTTATGATATGGTTATCTGCTGTAACAAAACAAAACAAAAGCAAATTGTATTCATTGCACATGCTCAAACTGAAGTAGCACTACCCCTTGGTTTTCCATTGTATTAATGGGATACAAAAAATTAGATACTAACCAGTAGGCCTGGGTAACAACGGAAAAATTTGTTTCTAAAATCGATTCGTTTTTTGGGGGTTTTGCGTTTCGATATTTAAAAGAATTCCGAAATTTTTCTTTTAAAAAGTTCGATATTTGCAAAATTTCGTAAATGTTAAAAAAATTACGAAACATTAACGAAACAAATACGAAACAATAACAAATCGATTTGTTAATGGCGGACGCGACCGCGCAATACGCTAAAAAACCTCCAAATGGGACAGGGGGAACTTCTGAAGCTTCCCTCTCCCTCTGTTGTTGACTGTTGGTGTGATATTATAATTTTTTTTCACTAATTAAACAAAAAACAACTATAAAACTTGCCCCAGACATGCGGAAATAATAACGAAACGACCTCAAACCGATAACGAAACGAATACATAACGAATCCGAAGCATTTACGAAACAAAATTAAAAATTCGTTTCGTTTTTAAGTTGCTCCAGAATGGTTCGTTATAATAACGAAACAACCTCAAACCTATAACAAAACGAATACATAATGAATCCAAAGCATTTACGAAACGAATTTAAAAATTCGTTTCATTTTTAAGTTGCTCCAGAATGGTTCGTTATCGCTTCGTTATCAAAAAAATAACGAATTTTTAACGAATTACGAATTAACGAAACGAAACCGCCCAGCCCTACTAACCAGCTCTGGGTATCTCCATAAAAGAGCCATGTTAATGTAGCAACTAGCATCTCTATATCGCTCCTCCTTATATATATATTTAAAATCCCACTAGACCCTAAATTGAAGTGGAATGGGGGAGCAGGGCCGCTGTTGGTCAGTGAAAAAAATTGAAAGGTCATAATTCTCTTGCAGCTTTCCGTTAGCATACCAGGAGTTGGTCTAGTATAATTACATTGCATAAGCCAGTACCCACTTATACTACATTTTGTAAGTGCTGTACAATAGATAACCTTCATGTGGAGTTGCAGCATCCATTCCACTGTGGAGGCATACTAAGAGGGCTTATTTATACTTTCACCCAGATGGATGCTTTTGTCCTCCCATTACTGCATCTTGATTTCTTCATATATGCATTGGTGGGACTTAGTCTTCTGCTAGGTTCAAACAGGTTCTTCACCTGTGAAATATTTGTGAAACTTTCAGGTCCTGTAGACCACTAACAGGAAATGATGTGCAGTCTCATCAGGAAGGGGTCAGGTTCTGATGTCAGAACCCCAAACTGCAAACTTTAATGTTCAACTCACAACATTGAAACCATCTGTGTGTTTTGTCAAATGAAGCTCCATGATCTTTCAGCTGCACATTTTCCAAAAGCTGCTTTTTTCCAGTGGAAATTCCCTGCTGATAACACTGATCCGTTAAGCAGACAGACCAAAAATGTACTATCCAAAGAATCCTTATAAAGTGAACTATCCAGCTGTTTCTTTGCAGTAAAGTAAAGGGATTTAATTTGGTAGGAGGGGCAGGGGACTGCAAGGGTAATGAACTTCCATAAATCTCCTTTTGTATTTGTCTTAGGTAGTCTCTCGGTGCTTGGAACTTGGGGCAGCCTCTGCCAGGTATGTGAATGGCAGCATGGAAGACATAATATTTGCTCAGTTAGTAGTGAAGAAAGCAGAGGAATTATGGGGTAAGCTGACTTTGTGAGCATGTTTAGAGGAACCTTTCTAGATCAGACCTCAAAACGGTCAGGTCTAGCTATGGATGTAAAATCTTAATGTATTTCAACTTTATGCAGAGTAAAAATTCACCAAAGATGTTCTCCTCTGTAAAAAGTGACAATAACATTTTTGTCTGTCTCAACAAGTGTGTGTGTGTGTATATATATATATTTACAATTTTTGCTCACAATGTTCAATATTGAAAACTAGCAACTGCTACCTTCTTGCATCATGAAAAAGTAGGCATTTTGGAAAAATGCCTCTGCCTTTGTGAGCACTTAGCCAGTTTTTTTTTTTTTGCATGTTTTTCAAAAATGAAAAAATACCGGAGGCATTTTTGTGCAAAGCACAATTTTGGGAGGGAGGGGGCACTTAATGTCACAATCTCCAAATGGAGATGGGGAGTCCTGCATGGACTGGAGACTCAACAGCATCATCATCATTTTCCATCTTCCTTTCTTTTTTTTGTTTACCTTTCTTTTCCTTTTTCCAATTTGATTTGGAACTCAAGGTTGCTCTCACATGTTAAAACAAGCATAGCTAAAAACTAACAACTCATAAAAGTTACAAATGTAATTAAACTAGTAAAAAAACCCAAATCCATTAAAAACATAAACCATTAAAATCAAACAGCATATGTGAGAATCAAGCTCATTAAACAAAGCCTATTCCATTTTGTGCAAACAGTCTTCTAAGGCTTAAAAACCCCACCCCCTTTATCAGCCTGAAGAAAAATAGCAGGGTAGGCACACTGAGAAGGGGTTTACAGAGTCTGGAAGCAGCCAACAAAATCACCTCTTGTGTTCCTGCCAGATGTAACTGTAGAGGTAGTGGGATGGAGAGAATGGCCTCCTCTGAAAATCTGAAAAACTTGGCAGGTTTACATGGCAGAATATGGTCCAGCATCTCTTAACTGTGGACAAAATCTTGGCAAAAATTCTTGGCCTTCTCAAGAAGTGGAGGCCAATAAGCCTCACATCAGTGGGTCTGTGGATCTGCTATGGTTTGTAGCACCTTGAAGAGTTCCTTTGAGGCTCAAACTAAAACCCAAAATAAATTTACCATCCAAGACTCAGGAAGCCGAGGGCGAGAGAAATAAGGAAAAACTATTCCATTATCTAACTACTGCGGCACGCATTGTATGCGCTAAGAAATGGAAACAGAAAGAAACTCCCCAAAGAGAAGACTGGTTTAATAAAATCCTGGACATAATGAATATGGACGAACTGACTTATTGGATAACACCAAATTATGGAATTCCAAAAAAAMCCACAAATTGGGACCCRGTAAAAGACTATCTCAGGAAATGGAAAAYTGATRTMATCTACTAACAAGAGTAAATCACAGCAACGAATATACAAAAGAAGGAAGAAGCACCACAGAATTAAGACTGGAAACATTTGCAAAAATCCTCCTCGAATAGATGGAAGTTTTTTTTAACTATACCTCAACCTACCCCCCTCCCCTTTCCTCAGGACCCTTCCCCTCCCCTACTTTCTTTCCTCTTCTCTTTCTTCTTCTTTTCTTTCTGCTCTCTTCTCTCCTTTCTCCTCCGTCACCCTTTCTCATTGTTGCTCAACCATAACATACACTTAACAGCATTCCATCTCTATACCTATGGCTTGCTCAAATAGTCATCATGGAACCATGATGTGAGTGGTCCTGTGAGTGGCCTTCATGAATTCGTCTAAGCCCAGAAATTCTCAGCATGGCACCTTTATTTATATTTGGACTTCAACTCTCATGATCCTACAGATAGCCTTGCCACCAGTCAGGCTGCCTGGGGATTATGAGAGTTTTAGTCCTATCATCTGATGAATGCCAGACTGGGAGAATCCTGCTTTTAAGCTATCTTTCTAAGCCATAACAGGCACTCTATCCCATAAGCACTTGTTCTATGCGATATTTCTTTTTGCATGACTAAATCATTGCTCTTTCACTACCAGCTGGATGCTGAATTATTATGATGGCTCCAGGGTGGCAATTAAGGGAGTGCTTTATTCTCCATAACCATTTCACAATCTTTGTCTCTGCAGGCAAGATCTTAAGTATGTTTATTCATGCACCATAGAAAGCATGCTTAGGACTGCAGTCTTTTTCCAGTCAAATCCCTCTCAGTCACTGGACCTATTTCTGCACTTGCACTTTACTCTTCCAGTGAAAAATAAAATAAATATATTTCTGACATATTTTCTGACCCCCAGGGACAAAAAGAGCTTTCCTATTCCTTTGTCGGCCATGGCCACTGTCCCTGCTATGGGCTTTCATTTTATTGGAAGGTACACTATTAAGAAAAATATTTCCCCCTAAAGATCCCTTCCACTTAGGGAAGCTTTTACTCCTTCCTTTTACTGAATTTCAGTTTCATGTGTGTGTGTTTGTGTGTGCGTGTGTGCGCGCGCATCCATGTATCATCAGGTTGCCTGCCAACTTAAGACATTTATAGGATTTTCTTAAGCTGCTCATACTCAGACATGGTTTTGCCTGTTAAAATCATAGCAAATATTCTTGCCATCAGTGAAAAAAGAATTTCTCAATACTTTGGTACACTACTCCACCAAGAACATCCTTGCCTACCCTTCAACTACCCTGATTTGATGAAGAATTAATTCTCTGTTATCTCACTTTTTCATGATGTCCTATTTCTTGCTAGTCCTCCCACTTTCCCTTTTTCTCCTCTACCTATTTCAATTGCTGCAAACTGATCTCAAAGTGCAAAAGTATTTTGCATTTAGTTAACCAGTAGTAGGGAGAGGAAAAGTGGCAGATTTCCCAAAAGACTCAGGCAAAGGCAAACTGCTGTGGCCTTTCCTAGCTTGTCTATTCTTCTTAATAATATTGCAATTTTAACCACATTCTGATATCACTTTGCCACATATATCTTGGTTATATGTGAAATTTTGGGAAAATCCTTGAGGGTTTTTTTTTTTGGCAAAAATAATGGTCAGCAGAGAAAACAATGCATTTAATACAGAAAAAAATGTTGTTTGCCCACCAGTATTAAGATGATGTTGGCTGAAATTTGCAAGTACTGGTCCATGGAAGGGAGCAAGACGACTCAGAAACTTTTTAATATTGCCCAAGCAATATTACCACTCAATCCTAAGAAGGTGTGTGTGGGGGGAGGGGGGGGCAAAATGAGGACACTGCCCCTAAATAAGAATTCTGCCCCCTAAAATGATTTTAGGTCACCGAATTGCCAGCATTCCAGAGTGAGACATTAAGATAGCTTTCATAGATATCCTATGTTTTCTGTTCACATTCCCTTGGTAATGCACAATAAAAGATACTTCAATGCTAGAAACTTGAGAACTGAAGAAAAAAAATATTTTGGTAGAGTGGAGAATTCTTACTGTCAAATTGCATTAATTCTACACTGTAGATGCACCCTGAGGCAACTTTCTACGCACAGCAGTACATTAAAAGGAACATAAAACACCATTGATTTAGTCGCAAATGTTGTTGTATATTATTCTATCTCTGGAGTCAGAGTGACATAACGATGTTATAGCAACATGTGGCAAAAAGGAACATAGGGCTACTTGAGCCTTAAATAACCATCTGCAATTGTCCACAGTAATACTGCTGAGCAGACATACTATTTCTGCAATGACGGGTGTCCTCTACAGTTATGTCTTTGCCTTATTTATTCAGTATTCTGCCATTTTCCTAACAATGGGATCCAAGAGAGGCTTACAGCATGCTTAAAAACTAGAAACAGCTGGAAACATATTGTGAAAGCCATTATGAGTCACAAGCTTCAGAAACTGGGAAAGCATGAGAGGGAGACATGACAGTCTGTCAGTGACCTTCCAAGTTCTGACATCTAAAACGATTGAATAAGCACCACAGGAGCAAAGCCTAAAAGAGTAAGCAACTGAATTCACAAATCAATACATTTCCAACTTTCCCAGGAAGGAAAGTGCCTATCTATGTTTGTGATTTCAAAGCAACCATTTGTTTTAACCCAGGCAACATTCAGTAATACAAATATATAAAGCGAACCATAAATAGAGTGCTGAAGATAAATATTTTGATATCTCTGCCATTTAAGTTTCCATTCGGTATTAAATTTCCATTTGGTATAGAATCAAGAAATGCAGGAAAAAAGGGTTTAAATATTTGTATATTGGTGTATCTCGGTAAATGAAGCAGATTATATGTTCTTGAACATTATTTCTTTTACATGGGCAGAAACAATATGGGGAGAATAGGGATTGGTTCCTCCACCACAAAAAAGGAGCTCAACATGTTCTAACAATAGCAAGAATATTCATGTGAAATGAAACTACCAGATCACATAAGGCACATAAGTTAGCTAACACATTTTGGATTTTGAAAGGCCACATGAGTTCTGACGTGGGCTGGTTCATGAGGTCACACAGATACTAAAAGACAAGGGAGTTACGGATGGATGGGAATTTCTCAAGAGTGAAATACTCAAGGCGCAATTGCAAACCGTGCCAACAAAGAGAAAAAATAGGACAAGTGCAAAGAAGCCAGAATGGATGTCCAAAGAACTTCTAACTGTGCTAAGACACAAAAGAGACATGCACAAGAAGTGGAAAAAGGGAGAAATCACCAAAGAAGAATTCAAACAAATAGCCAACACCTGTAGGAAAAGGTCCGCAAGGCTAAAGCACAAAACGAGCTCAGGCTTGCCAGGGACATTAAAAACAATAAAAAGGGCTTCTATTCTTATGTCAGTAGAAAAAGGAAAAACAAGGAGGCGATAGGCCCTCTTCGAGGAGAAGATGGGGCAATGCTGACAGGGGATAGGGAAAAGGCAGAACTACTTAATGCCTTCTTTGCCTCGGTCTTCTCACAAAAAGAGAGTCTTCAACCTCAGCAAGATGGAGTGGATGAGGGATTGGAGGACATCCAACCCCGAATTGGGAAAGAAGTCGTCCAGGAATACCTGGCCGCTCTTAATGAGTTCAAGTCCCCAGGGCCAGATCAACTACACCCCAGAGTATTGAAGGAACTAGCGGAAGTCATTTCGGAACCATTGACAACTATCTTTGAGAGTTCTTGGAGAACGGGAGAAGTTCCAGCAGATTGGAGGAGGGCCAATGTGGTCCCAATCTTCAAGAAGGGAAAAAAGGATGACCCAAACAACTACCGTCCGGTCAGCCTCACGTCGATACCGGGCAAGATTCTGGAAAAGATTGTTAAGGAAGCGGTCTGCAAACACTTAGAAACAAATGCAGTCATCGCTAATAGTCAACATGAATTTATCAAAAACAAGTCATGCCAGACTAATCTGATCTCTTTCTTCGATAGAGCTACAAGCTGGGTAGATGCGGGGAATGCCGTGGATGTAGCGTACCTGGATTTCAGTAAGGCCTTCGACAAGGTCCCCCATGACCTTCTGGCAAGGAAACTAGTCCAATGTGGGCTAGGCAAAACTACGGTGAGGTGGATCTGTAATTGGTTAAGTGGACGAACACAGAGAGTGCTCACTAATGCTTCCTCTTCATCTTGGAAAGAAGTGACAAGTGGAGTGCCACAGGGTTCCATCCTGGGCCCGGTCCTGTTCAACATCTTTATTAATGACTTAGATGAAGGGCTAGAAGGCATGATCATCAAGTTTGCAGACGACACCAAATTGGGAGGGATAGCCAATACTCCAGAGGACAGGAGCAGGAATTCAAAACGATCTTGACAGATTAGAGAGATGGGCCAAAACTAACAAAATGAAGTTCAACAGTGACAAATGCAAGATACTCCACTTTGGCAGAAAAAAATGAAATGCAAAGATACAGAATGGGTGACGCCTGGCTCGAGAGCAGTACGTGTGAAAAAGATCTTGGAGTCCTCGTGGACAACAAGTTAAACATGAGCCAACAATGTGATGTGGCGGCAAAAAAAGCCAATGGGATTTTGGCCTGCATCAATAGGAGCATAGTGTCTAGATCTAAGGAAGTAATGCTACCCCTCTATTCTTCTTTGGTTAGACCACATCTGGAATATTGTGTCCAATTCTGGGCACCACAATTCAAGAGAGATATTGACAAGCTGGAATGTGTCCAGAGGAGGGCGACTAAAATGATCAAGGGCCTGGAGAACAAGCCCTATGAGGAGCGGCTTAGGGAACTGGGCATGTTTAGCCTGAAGAAGAGAAGGCTGAGAGGAGATATGATAGCCATGTATAAATATGTGAGAGGAAGCCACAGGGAGGAGGGAGCAAGCTTGTTTTCTGCTTCCCTGGAGACTAGGACGCAATGGAACAATGGCTTCAAACTACAAGAGAGGAGATTCCATCTGAACATGAGGAAGAACTTCCTGACTGTGAGAGCCGTTCAGCAGTGGAACTCTCTGCCCCGGAGTGTGGTGGAGGGCTCCTTCTTTGGAAGCTTTTAAGCAGAGGCTGGATGGCCATCTGTCAGGGGTGATTTGAATGCAATATTCCTGCTTCTTGGCAGGGGGTTGGACTGGATGGCCCATGAGGTCTCTTCCAACTCTTTGATTCTATGATTCTATGCTTTGATTCTATGAAGGCTTCTTCTAAAAGTCATCTGGGGATGACTATTTCTTCCTCCAGAAATAACTCTTATTTTGATGTTCACTCTGGTGGCTAAACTTACAGATCTATGTGCTTTGATTTGTTGACAATAGTTACTGTTGGAAGCTTGTCTGCTCTCCCCTTAATTAGTTTAATGTTCTTATAAACAGTAAAGGATTCTGGAGGCAGCTGTGTTCACTTTGTGTGTTGTAGGCAAACATACACAGCTATTCCATAATTCAGGCTAGAATCTCATTCTTTCCTGGCTCTTTCTTTACTGGGTTGTTGTAGGTTTTTTCGGGCTATATGGCCATGGTCTAGAGGCATTCTCTCCTGATGTTTCGCCTGCATCTATGGCAAGCATCCTCAGAGGTAGTGAGGTCTGTTGGAACTAGGAAAAAGGGTTTATATATTTGTGGAATGACCAGGGTGAGACAAAAGACTCTTGTCTGCTGGAGCAAGGTGTGAATGTTTCATCTGATCACCTTGATTAGCATATAATGGCTTGACAGTGCCTAGAGGGATTGTGGTGCAGCTGGCTGAATGTCAGCTGCATTAAGATCACTCTGACCAAAAGGTCATGAGTTCGAAGCCAGCCCGGGCTGGAGTGGGTGTCCAGCCATTGTGTAGCCCGTTGTCGACCTTTGCAACCCGAAAGACAGTTGCATCTGTCAAGTAGGAAAATAAGGTACCACCTTGTGTGGGAGGCTAAATTTAACTAATTTATGAGGCCATAAAGAAAAAAGACTCCGGGGAATGTGGAATGCGGAAGAACTTCATCGGTGTCGTTGATGGATGATGAAAAGCAGCAGCTCCCCTGGCGGCCAGAAAAAAGTTAAATAGCCGGTGTATTTGTGTGTTAAATGTTGTTTGTCAAACTGGCATTGAATGTTTGCCATATATGTGTTTACTGTAATCCGCCCTGAGTCCCCTGCGGGGTGAGAAGGGCGGAATATAAGAACTGTAAATAAATAAATAAATAAAATAGAGCAAACTTTTGTTGAGAGGCAATTAGATGTCCCTGCCTGCTTCCTCTCTGTTGTTGTGCTGTTGCAATTTTAGAGTTTTTTAATACTAGTAGCCAGATTTTGTTCATTTTCATTGTTTCCTCCTTTCTGTTGAAATCGTCCACATGCTTATGGATTTCAATGGCTTCTCTGTGTAATCTGACATGGTGGTTGTGAGAGTGGTCCAGCATTTCTGTGTTCTCAAATAAAATGCTGTGTCCAGGCTGGTTCATCTGTCTTTATTGTCATTTACCACAAACATGCTACTGCAACCTGGTACTAAAAGTCTGTGTTTTTGCACACACCACTTCACCATCCTCCTAATGCTGATGTTGGTTAAAATATGTTTCTCCCAACTAGATAAAAGACTAGAAGGACAAGGGTGGGGAGAGTGGCTGTAAAAGGATTGCAAAAAAGAGTAACTAAAATGTGCCTATATTATGTTTTGTCAGGAAATTTTCAGAATCCCTTTTAAGTATTGACATAATAACATTACTTTTTCCTGAGTCATGAAGCATAGGAAATGTTTGGGGAAAAAATATCTTGATGAATAAAACCAGGATGAGGAACTACAGAAGGTCCTTTTCTAAGGTCCTAATCTGGTCTTCTGGGGTTTAATAAAGTCATACTTCGTAAGATATATGATGGTGTCTGGTTCTTTTTTCAAATAGACCTGGGATCAGAAACATGTTTATGGCCATTGGCCATGATTGCTTCTTTTTTTCTTAGCAATTCACCATGGGCCAACTATCTGTAGATCACAGATTAGGTAACATCATTTTGGGTAGCACTGCCCTAAAAAATCATTGTCCTTCACCATGCCACTCATTTTTGGTAATAAAAATAGAATTTGTTTATTTGGATTTGTTTGTTTGGAATGGATTTTCCCATCCTAAAAGACTGAGATGTTCTTTAAATTCAAAGATGTTAGTAGGTCAAGTCTTTTTGTCTTTGGCACTGCACACAACTGATGTTTCTTTGGGCTCTTAGGTTGAAACAGGTACACACACCCCCACCCACCCCCCACCCCCACCATTTGCAATATAGATTCATATGGTGTGAGGAAATTGTTGACTGATCATTCGGGAAAACAGAATTATAGAACTAGAAAAGACCACAAGGCCCATCCAGCACAACCCCTTGCCATGCAGGAACAAACAACCAAAGCACTCCCAAACGGCTGGCCATTCATTCCCTGCTTAAAAACCTCCAGAGAAGAGTCCAACAGACACTGAGGAGGCAGCAGTTTCCATTGCCCATCATCTCTAATGCATATCTTGTTGTGTGCTGTTAGGGAGTAACCAGAACATTTTATAAATAAACCAACCCTAAAAGCCCCCCAAAACCATAAAAAATCAAACCCATATTAAAATATGCAAACATCAATGGCAGACCAAGTCCTGTGGATTTCACATATTATAATTCATTGTTTCTTAATGCCTAAATGTATATGTTCTTATTCTGACATTTGTACATTTTTGGTGCTGGTTATTGACCATAAATAAATGTATATACATTCAAGTATCTCTTCTTTTTTTGTAATTAGGTAGAGATGCCATAACAAAGTCTATTATGGTATAGCAAAGTCATCATCTATTAACTTGACTTGAAACAATTCTTTACTCTCCTCAGGAAACCTAGATATGCTTATTCTCAACCATGTTGGCAGTTCCTACTTCAAATTTTTTGATAGTGATGTTGGGCATGTGCAAAAACTCCTGGACATCAATTTCCTAAGCTATGTGAGCATGACAGTAGCAGCTCTTCCCATGCTGAAGAAAAGTGGAGGAAGCATTGTAGTGGTTTCATCTATGGCAGGTGAGTATAAACTGCATGGAAGCAAGGAATTGCATGTGTTGAATAATAAACCCATATATGATTGTACACTTAACAGTTTGCAGCTTCCAACTTTATCTAGGCATAGGTTCCATTCTTCCAACTATACAGATCATTGTATTTGATGATGAGATCATGACTTTAATGCCCTTAAGATGCATCCCACTGAAAAAACAATCATAATCTTCAATGCAGCTCAGATAAACATTCATGCTACTATGCAACAGCAGAGATGACACATTTTTCAGAGATGTGATTCTGAATAATTTCTCTATAAAATACAGACAATATACAATGTTTTATTTGCATGTTCACACATAAAATCATAATCCCTGAAGCAGCTTTCAACAGATATTCATACTACTTAGCAACAGCAAGGTTAAGACCAACCATGCAATAATGAGACCAGACACAAAAATTTGGATTAAATAAGGGCCATTTTATTTCATGTACATACTCTTTAAATTGAACCTAAAAAGAGTAAAAGAGGAGAGCACCCTGATGTGGGTCAAGCTGGAGTAGGGTCTACCCCAGATTACTTCCTAATTCTTCCCTTGGGCAAAACACATAAACTCTGAGCACAATCCAGTTAACCTAGAACATTCTCACCCAAGTTCCAGGACCTTACAAGTAAGAACACAACCTCCAGGTTAGCCTCATTCCCAAGAATGCAAAAGGCAAAAGGTCCCTAAGACCAAACACTCAACGTATGGAAACAACGTATTCAACTAATGGAATCTTAGTACAAGTTATACAGCATACAGTTCTCAAAACCAAAAATCATTTATCTTATATGGTATAAACAACGAATTCTACAGCAAGATATACATCTGTTTAAGGTGGTTTTGAAAAAAAATTCAATAACAATACAGTTTGTGAATCTTCTTGCAAGTCTCTTAATCCAGAGCTTCTTGATTAAAGTAAAGTTTGTCCACTGCAATACACAGTTTATCAGTCCATTTTTTTTCAAAATCACAGTTTGTCAAGCACAGTTTGTCAGTCCTTTTTTCAAAACCCTTTTTCAAAATCACAGTTCTTCAACCACAACCGGTTTTGACTGTGTACAGTCTTCTTCCAGGTCTAAATTTTCAGATCTGTAAATCTGATGTTATTTTTCTATGTAGTATGCACAACACATCCGTTGTGAGTTATTTGGACATGACCACACACTTATTCCATATCCTGTAGTATGTCTAGAATGATTAACCCTGGTCTAGTTCTGTGTTTGCAACACACTGCTATCTGAATGTTTGGAGATTAATTAGAAAAGTAAATTGTCTCAGATCAAGATACTATATTTGATGGTTTCCCCAATGATGTGGCTATTCCAATGTGCCTTCAATGACTGAATGTATGATAATCCCTGACCAAACTTTGCATAAAATACCCTCACAAGCACTTTATTTTCTGGCTTGTGCAATTAAATCCTACCCTAGCCCCCGGATCCCCTGCGTGATATTTTACACTGCCCTGTCTCCCAGTGTTTTAAAATTTTAATCTTTGAATTTGGCCCTGCCCACTGTGATCATTTTTAGTTCTTTTAACGTTTTGATTTTATATTTTTTTGGTGCTTATTTACATTGGTTCTGTATTTTACGTTATTTTATTTTCTAATTTTCTGTTGTGTCTTTGTGTTATATTGTGTTTACTGTATTGATGGGCGTGGCCTCATGTAAGATGCCCTGAGTCCCCTCAGGGAGATGGTGGCGAGGTATAAATAAAATTATTATTATTATTATTATTATTATTATTATTATTATTATTATTATTATTGTAATAATGTTGGAGAGTGGTCAGTGTGGTCCCTTGTCAAGTGGTCTCTGGTCAAAAAAAGTTGGGAACCACTATTTTAATGGGAACTGGGGGTTAGGATGCTCAGGATGAGGAGCTGCCCCTGATGTGTCCCCCCCCCCTCCAAATTTGCACCTGTGCCAGTTACTTCACTTTGTCTAATACAGAGGTATGGTAGATCTAGGGGGCAATTTGTATTTGCTTCTTACACTCTCTGAGGGCAACAAAGACTGCAAAACAATAACACAGAAGTAGCAGAAAACTTATGTCTTTAAAGAGAGAAACAGTTTTGAAGGGTGTACTTTGCCCAGCTCAGTCTAATGTTAGGATCAACTACACAATATCCCAGAGTACTTGTAAGGTATTAGCACAACCACAAAACAATCTATGCTAATGTCAAAGTGTATTATCAAAAGAGTATATAGTATTCCATTTACCAAAAACCCCAGTACATAGCTCAATTCAGTGGTACACAGAAATCAAAAGGAGCAGCCGCTCTCAAATGTAACAGTTCTAGGTCTGGATAAGGATTCCACTGTATATAGGCTTCAGGGATTCAATAAGAAAAGTCATATAAACAAAGTAAGCATTGAGTCATGAGGCTATATGTAAACTGAAGACAATAATGGGGATGAAGCGCCACTCTCAAAACAATCTTCATGGAAAAGATCCAACTCAAGTCCAGTGAAAATGGAGCACTGCTTCTCAAAATAAGTCTTCAAAGGAAAAGTCCAAATGGTATTCAACAGGGGTGCCCGGGTATTTTTGTACCCTGTTTCGGGGAAAGCAATCCCCTTCCTCAGGAGTTGATAAAGTCAGCAACTCTAGACTCTTATATCATGCCAGATAGCCTATACAAAAAGTGACTCTGCTTTTTTTTTTTTTTGGTTAAAACTGTTTATTTTGATTATGGTACATAACAGAAAAGCAAAGCAAATCATGGCAGATATAATCAGGTACCAGTATTTTTGACGTGTACATGCCTATCTACCTTATTCAGTCAATCAGTTAGTTTTGTCATTAAGTACAAATTATTATCATTTACATATCTTAATATACATAGACTTGCTATTTCTGCCTGTTTTCCACTGCTTTCCGTCAGAGCTTTGTATTAATTTTTTTCCATAACATTCAGTAAATCATCACATGGCATTTTACACACATACCACAGACCTTACACTCATCCCAAACCCCCTATCCTAAACAAAATAAACCCTCATCCCCACACCCGTGCACCCTTCACCATGACTTCCCACACCAAAACACTATGAAGCCTTTAAGCCTATTTATCTCTCCTTATTCATGGTAAACCTAAATTCCTAATGGAGCTCCTCTATATTACTGACTCTCTATTCAGATATGCCATGGCCAACTTCCATTTTTCTAGAAAGTCCTCATTACTCTTATTCCTCCTGTTATAAGTTAGTCTGGCCATTAGCATATATTCTCGCATTCTTTCCCTCCAATCCTTTTTGGTTAGACCTTTTTCCCCTTTCCAATCTTTGGCTATGGTCAATCTTGCCGCTGCAAAGCTATATTTATATATTTCTTGATCTTTTTGATTATTGTTTTCTCTCTGTAGACCTAGCAGACACAGTCCTGGGCTTTTTTTTAATCTTGTTATGTAACATTTTATTTGTCTCCTTAATTACCTTATCCCAAAATTCCTGTATGATCACACAGGTCCACCACATGTGGAAGAATGTCCCTTTCTGTTTCCTGCACCTCCAGCAAATACCTTGTTGTGATTTGTCTATTTTAGCCAATGTTGCTGGAGTGATATAACACCTATAAAACATTTTGTATTGATTCTCCCTGATTGAACCCGATAAAGTAAATTTGAATTCTTTGTTCCATAGGTATTCCCATTTGTCCAATTCTATTGGTCTGCCTAGGTCCTTGGCCCAGGATAACATTACTGTCTTGACTCTGTTGTCCTCCATGCTATAGCTTAGTATGTATTTGTATAATCTAGAGATTAACCCTTTATCCCCCTTTTCCCATATTCTTTCAAATTCTGATTCTTTGGTTGCAAATCCAATCCTCAAGTCTTTTTTGTATCTTTCATGCAGTTGGTGATAACGAAACCAATCATTAATCTCCAATTCTTCCCGCCCTTTTAATTTCCATTTTTCATTTTCTCTAATAAGGTATTCTTTATATGTTCTTGTTTCTACCCTTAAGGTTGGTCTTGTAACTGCTTCTAGTGGCCTCAGCCAAAGGGTTTTTTTTTGGTTCCATACCTTTTCTGTATTTTTTCCAAATATCCAATAGTCCCCCTCTAATTATATGTTTATTAAAATCTTTATTTAATTTATCTCCATTATACCACACGTATGCGTGCCAGCCGAATCGTAATCCAAATCCTTCCAAATCTAGTAGGGTCTTGTTTTCTAATTTTATCCATTCTTTCAGCCAGGACATTGCTGCAGCCTCATAATAGGTCCTTAAATCGGGTAAGCTTAGCCCCCCCCCTTCCTTTATCATCAATTAAATTTCGGTATGCTATCCTCGCTCTTTTTCCAGCCCAAATAAAGTTAGTCTTTTCCATTTCTCAAAGATTTTTGTTCCTTTAATAATAGGTATATTTTGAAACAGGAATAACATTTTGGGGAGTACAATCATTTTTATTACTGCAGTTCTGCCCATCCAAGTTAGAGGGATTGTTTGCCATCTGGTGAGATCTTTTTTATGTCGTCCCATGTTTTAATGTAATTATCCTGGAATAAATTGATATTTTTGTTTGAAAGCCATATTCCTAGATATTTTACTTTCGTTATCACCTCGCAGTGTGCTGCGGCCTCCAATTTCTTGTGACTTTTAACGTCTATATTTTTTACTAAAAATTTAGATTTCTCCTTATTTATGATAAATCCTGATATGTCACCATATCTTTGGATTGTATCCAATAGTTTTTTAATACTTTGTAGTGGGTTAGTTAGGATACAGACTATATCATCTGCGTAAGCCCTAATTTTTAGTTCTTGGCCACTAATCTTTAAACCGGTGATTTCTTTCTCTTCCCTTATCCTTACATTTAAGATTTCTAATCCCATAATAAACAATAGTGGGGACAACGGACAGCCTTGTCTTGTCCCTTTTTGTATATCAAAAAGTGACTCTGCTTGAAGTAAATTCACACTGCGAGACAGTTGCAGTTGGGTCTAGCAGTACCAGCTACAGCAGAAGTAGATTTCAAATCAACAGAATATAATTAGATTAAGAAATGCCTCTTGAGCATCAATGAGTTTTCAGAATCGACAGCTTTCCTTTTTAAGCATTTTTATCAGTACCATCTGAGATCTATGGCAGAAACCAACAAAGAGATGCTTACCAAATTATCAAGGGAATTTAATCAGCTAAAGTGAAGGGAATTAATTTCTACATCAAGTCTCAGAAAGACATCTGAAGAGGCAATGAGGCTTATAGCCTGAAACAAGTAATGTATAGTACTTCCATGACTATGACGTGGAATCAAAAGTAAGGGCCCAAGAACAAGGAAACACATTTCATTTCCATTCATGGCTTAGAACTGTGTATAGCAATGAAACTGGAATTTCCTTTTCATGGAACATTACACTGAGATTCCATTTTAACTGGATGTCCAGGGTGCGTACATACAAATTCGAATCTCTTCTAAAATTTCTAGTATGAAGTGGCTTGCCAGATCACAATTCCGAGGTCCTGCCTGCCTCTTTTCCCTTTTCACTTGCTATGAGGCAAACCCTTGAGTTTTATTTGCTCGAGTAAATAGGAGAGGCTGTCTCAGAACATTTAAAGAAAACCATGTGTGTTAATTAAGAATTATGTCCCATCAAGTTAAATATGACTTATTTCAAATAAAAAAATATGTATAGAATTGGGTGACTAAGATACTAAGAGACTGGCATGATTTCTGAGTTGTAACGTGGGCACATTCGCTAGGCACACAAGACTAAGCTTCTAAAAATTATGGTTCTGTACAGGTTTTACTGCATTTAGTGGCAGCGTCTGCTCCTGTGTCCATGTGCTGGTGAATCTGTTCTAATTCAAACTAAAACAGCTATTCGGGGTGCTGAATCTATGCAGTAGATATTGTTCAGGACCTTTGAAAGCTCCTTTAAAATTCAAACAAAAATCCTTTTGATACTGAATACAATAGCCAATAGTATTCATTCAAAATTTGTCTGTTATATAGATAGTCTATATGCACAGTGTTCATCCTAAATCTCTTTCTTATCATTTATTTATTTATTTATTTACGACATTTATATGCCGCCCTTCTCACCCCGAAGGGGACTCAGAGCGGCTTACAAGTCATAAGTACATACAACATACTACATAATACATAACTAGCATAGTACTATTACATCATTCATAACACTAGTACTACATAATATTACATTATTGCTAGGGGAGGGGCGCTGATGTCACAGGGGACAAGATGGCAATGTCCTCCCGGCTCCCCTTCTTTATTCTGGCCCCAGAGTGGCCGTTGGTGTTGGGGGAGGGGCGCTGATATCACAGGGGACAAGATGGCAATGTCCTCCTGGCTCCCCTTCTTTATTCTGGCCCCAGAGTGGCCGTTGGTGTTGGTGTTTCTCTCATACATATACACTAAAATCATAGAATCATAGAATCATAGAATCAAAGAGTTGGAAGAGACCTCATGGGCCATCCAGTCCAACCCCCTGCCAAGAAGCAGGAATATTGCATTCAAATCACCCCTGACAAATGGCCATCCAGCCTCTGCTTAAAGCTTCCAAAGAAGGAGCCTCCACCACACTCCGGGGCAGAGAGTTCCACTGCTGAACGGCTCTCACAGTCAGGAAGTTCTTCCTAATGTTCAGATGGATCTCCTCTCTTGTAGTTTGAAGCCATTGTTCCGCGTCCTAGTCTCCAAGGAAGCAGAAAACAAGCTTGCTCCCTCCTCCCTGTGGCTTCCGCTCACATATTTATACATGGCTATCATATCTCCTCTCAGCCTTCTCTTCTTCAGGCTAAACATGCCCAGTTCCTTAAGCCGCTCCTCATAGGGCTTGTTCTCCAGACCCTTGATCATTTTAGTCGCCCTCCTCTGGACACATTCCAGCTTGTCAATATCTCTCTTGAATTGTGGTGCCCAGAATTGGACACAATATTCCAGATGTGTTCTAACCAAAGCAGAATAGAGGGGTAGCATTACTTCCTTAGATCTAGACACTATGCTCCTATTGATGCAGGCCAAAATCCCATTGGCTTTTTTTGCCGCCACATCACATTGTTGGCTCATGTTTAACTTGTTGTCCACGGACTCCAAGATCTTTTTCACACGTACTGCTCTCGAGCCAGGCGTCACCCATTCTGTATCTTTGCATTTCATTTTTTCTGCCAAAGTGGAGTAGCTTGCATTTGTCACTGTTGAACTTCATTTTGTTAGTTTTGGCCCATCTCTCTAATCTGTCAAGATCGTTTTGAATTCTGCTCCTGTCCTCTGGACTATTGGCTATCCCTCCCAATTTGGTGTTATCTGCAAACTTGATGATCATGCCTTCTAGCCCTTCATCTAAGTCATTAATAAAGATGTTGAACAGGACCGGGCCCAGGACGGAACCCTGCGGCACTCCACTTGTCACTTCTTTCCAAGATGAAGAGGCAGCATTAGTGAGCACTCTCTGTGTTCGTCCACTTAACCAATTACAGATTTGCCTAGCCCACATTGCCTAGCCCACATTGGACTAGTTTCCTTGCCAGAAGGTCATGGGGGACCTTGTCGAAGGCCTTACTGAAATCCAGGTACGCTACATCCACGGCATTCCCCGCATCTACCCTGCTTGTAGCTCTATCGAATTCAGCTTGAAAAATTTGAAAGGTATGTAACATATGTTTTTAACTTTATCACTTAAGTGGCATCTCCTGTTCGGATTTTAAACATCCAAATTATATGAAAAAAATTATAAATGAAATAGTGGAAGCAGGGAAAAATAATTCCCCTGGGAACAAAAACCAGACCATTATGCTTCCCTGGCTGCCTTCAGATACATTGCCTTACACTTAACTGCATTTTGTTTTATTTCTAGGGAAAGTTGGATTCCCGTTTACTGTTCCCTATTCTGCAACTAAGTTTGCCTTGGATGGATTTTTCAGCTCTTTGCGGCAGGAATTCGTCATGCAAAACATCAATGTTTCCATCACGCTCTGTATCCTTGGACTCATTGACACAGGTAGAATTGTTTGTCATTCGTAACACCTTTCCTCTTTAGCTGTGCTGAGGATCCTTCAGATTTCAACCTCAATCATTTTAAAACCAGTAAAAATGCTTGTCATTTTCCCCCTGACCCAAATATTACAATGCCATAAGATAGCAGTCAAGAAGCAGCCTTCTGAAGCAGGGATTGTGTATAAATTATTCTGAGACAGATGTGTGTTGATCCTGGTGAAACAAAATGTAGAAATTTCTCCTGAAAAGAGCATTTAAGCTTTTACAATTATGATGAAAGGTTATTTATAACTGAAAAGCACCTGCCATGACCATCCTACTATAAAGTAGCCTCCCAATTGAAATTGTTAACTTGGGGATTGGGGGAAGTGGGCTTTGCAGTCCAAACATATCTGGAAGAAACCATGTTGGGGAAGTCTGTCACAATTTATTTAAAATAGGGAGAGCAACTCTGTGCTGAACTGCATTCTGATGAACGAAGGAAACATACACTCTGTTTCCCAGCATGCTCCATACTGTTTTAAAGGACCTGGTGACTTAATATGAGGTTTCTCTTCATTCAAACTGCAGAATCCTTGTAAGATCATTGAAAGATCACTGAAAATGAACCGACACACTTACCTCCAAATACATGACAATTCTTTAAACAATAATTTCTACTTATTTTGTGCACAAATTACAGGTTCCTGGTTACCTATAATTATTATGCCAAGCCAGGTATCACCAATAGATACATTTCTGGCATTATTATTACTACTGTCATTTTGCTTCTATTCTCCTGACATCAGGCCCACTGCAATCAAAACAGAGAATAAAAAGAAGTGGTGGATCTGAATGGGTGAAGCCTGTGTATGGTATTCTTCCAACACAATCGTGGATTTAGGTTTTTTACAAAGTTGTTCATTGTACATACAAACAATTTTATCCTATGTGAGACTAGTGGGGTTTCGTGGGATGCATTCTCTCAAGAAAGCTTCAGAGGCTTTTTTGAGAGAATGCATCCCATCACTGGTAAAGATATGACCCCTCCATCACTGGTAAAGATATCACAGCCAAATGTCCTGTAGAAATGTCAGTGATGAACACAGGAAACACATACTGTTTCCCATCATGCTCCAGACAGATGATTGGTGGGCATAGAGCACATAAGGAAAGCCCTATTTCCTATTACAATCACTGCATTTTTCAAGTAACCATTCAGTAGTACTAGTAGTAATGATGGGTACACTTGAGGCTGTTCAAACAGCGAACCAGGCCTGTATTACTCTCCTCTGCATTATCAGGACAAATACACACTGAAAGACTTAATAAAACTGTTTCTGCAAGCATGATATTCTGCAAGCATGATATTAAAGAGTGAAACAGATTGAATATTTGTGCAAGATTTCTACATGTGGCACACACTTTGGGCTAGCTCAGGGGGAGGTGAATCTGTGACCTACCAGATGCTTTGACTACAAGCCCCACTAAAAATGATCCCATAATAAAATATTTTGGGGAGGGCAGTCCAAAAGATCTGAAGATTCCCACCCCCTGTCCCCACAGAAAATTAAGTGGCAGTACTTAGTAGAGACAAGCAATTCACTTCTGGAAAATACATCTAGGCTATTTAAGATGTATTTTTGTGTTACTGTAAGTCATTACAACTGCATTTGTTTACCTAGGATTGAGTCTTACTGAACACACTGGGGTTTACTTCTGAGTAGGCACTCAGTACAAGAAGCACTTAGCATTGGAATCCCTAAGCAGGCAACACATACTAAATCAGGTTCTTTTTTCTTTCCTTAGAAACTGCAATGAAAGCCACTTCTGGCATTTTTACATCTCCAGCAGCACCAAAGGAAGAATGTGCACTAGAAATTATTAAAGGTGGAGCCTTGCGTCAACGGGAGGTTTATTATGAATATACATCCACAAAGATCCCTCTATTAATCAGAGACTGGGTTCCAGATCTCCTGGATTATCTCATCAGGAGCAGCTATAATATGGAAAAACTGAAAGAAGCTTAACTGAAGTTTTATAGAGCTTTTGCTTGTCTTTCTATTTCTCTTGTTCTGTTACATATACCTATAGCTTAGGCTGTCTCTTATTTAGCTTGAACAAACATAATTCTTCATTATGTTTGTTCTCAAGGAGAGTAATTTCTGCAATTTTTTCCCATTATAAGAAAGTCTTCAAGACCCATGCAATTTCAGAATGCTATTTTCAATTTGGGGCCTGCTCTATTAAATATTGCTGGTGTTTGTAGACAAAAAAGCACTTTCTGTGCAGAAAATAACATGTTCTGCACAGAAGATAATACTTCATCATAGAAATGTTTATTCTTGCACAGATCTTTTTTTAAAAAAACACAAAAAATTACATTTTTGTGCAAAAAGCTTTTTCTAGGGATTAGTTTATGTAATGAAATATTATGTTGTATGCAAAAAAATACTATTTTCTTTACAAAACAACCACAGCTGATTTATTTTCACCAAAAGTCCCAAACTGCAAAAATAGTCTTCAATCCAGGATTCCTCTTATCAGAACGGCTCAATACTCAAAAATACTATTTTTCAAATATGTTTTCCCCATTCCTCCTAGCTAACATGATGAAGGATCTTGTAAATGCTGGGATGTTCTATGCTGTTACATCTTAGATTTCCAGACCGCATACTTTATCTTTGAAATAAGGTATAAAACATGAATAATAACTAATAAAGTGTCTTAGGTTTCACACTTCTTTAATCAAGGGGTTCTGAGCAAGATGCTTTAAAGCAGATCAAAGTATGAAAGAGAAAGTAAATGCAAAAAGAAATTAGTATGGAACAGTCCCTGCAAAATCATTGCCTCTCTTCTTTAGGCTGCTATTCCTGAATGGGTACAAACCATAATTTCTCATTGACAGCCAATCAATGCAAGCAGCATGATGCAGTTACATAGAGAAAGAAAAACATTTAGAACATTAACATGAAAGTTTACTCACACTGAAGTTTTAAAAGCTTCATTTTTATTTGCTTTTAAAAGGTTGAGTCCTATGGTTTTTCCAGGCTAAAATATATTATTATAATGTTTTATATATTAGTGCTTAGCACGTAAACTACTACTGAACCATATAACAACAAAATCCTTATTTGAAAATATCGTGGCTTTGTAAAACATTCAGGTTATATGATTTAGAAGAGTATTTATGAGAAATATCTTTCAAATTCAGTTTCCTATAATGGGCACAATGAGATCCAGAATTAAGGCTCTTCACTGCCTCACATTACAACATTTGAAATGCCCCCCCCCCCCCAAGAACATGGCATTATTGTTCCATGTTTACATTTATAGTTAAAAGTATAATATAGAATTGACAGCATGTGCAACATATTTGTATTCATAAACCTTTTCAAAAGGCGTTTTTGTGCAAACAATGGCTCCCCCTCCTGGCAAATGAAATTCATAGGACCTATATGCCAGTGAGATGAAACTGGAGCCAGGCAGCTTTCAAGCTACTCAGTCGTCTATTGAATTGCATCAGAATGGCCTAATGTTTTAAAGAAGTTGTATAATGTTCTTGTTTAATCTCTTGGTGTTTCATGTCAAGACAAGATAGCAAGTTGGACCACATGAAAATCAGCCTTTTAATATCAGATAGTATTATCTGTGTTCTAAATCACCTACAAAACTTATAAGCTTTCTTCTCTGATTTTCGCAGTGTCCTGATATTATTGTACTCTATGTACTTAGAAATCTAATTCTAAGGTTTTCCTTGTCTCTCCAAGGAGTGCACAATTATTAGAAAATGTGCCATATTTTATTCTTGTCCAGGTGAATGGATGTCCTGTTTTCAGAACCCAATGAAACAATACATAGATTATACTAAAATGGCCAACAGCTCATTCAAATAGCTATAATGCTCCTTACAATATAATCACAGTGTCCCTGCAGCCACAAGTCAGAGAAAATCTCCCCATCCTGGGGCAGCCAGAGAGGGAGATCTGATTCTGAAACCTTTTGCTAGCCACTGAAGAGTACTGGGCAGATGATGATATTTATTTTACTTTCCCAACTCTGGGCACCCATGAGGAAAGTGGGAAAACTTTGAGAACAAGAGGATCAAGAGAGGCTAAAGCCCTCACGGATTTTAGTCATATGGGCAGCTAGAGAGGGAGATCTGTCTCTGAAACCTTCCTGTCTTTCACTTTGCTTTATTCATACTGGAACGGATTGAAAAATATCAAAGATTCCAGCATCATGGCATCAGCACCCTTTCACACTACAGACAATCCACACGTTATGAACAAGATAGGTTCTGTAGGTTTGTTCTTAAATTGTATTTGTATGTACATCAGAACAGGTACAAGTGTTATTCCAGCACAATATATACTGTATGTATATTTAGCTTTGGATAGTATAGGGAAGGGTTAACACCCATGGTGTTTGTTTTGCTCTCTATGCTCCTGTACAGAAGTTTTCACCTCACTCTATATCCCTGTGATAATTGGATTTTGAAAAAACGGCTTGTTGTGGAAACAAGGATTGGTAATAAAGCTTCAGTGGAGTCACCTTTTCGCCATGAAAACTCTCACGTACTGTTGTCTCTGCGGAATTCTTAACTATGAGTAGTTTGTATGTCAGATGTTTGTAACTTGGGGGCTGCCTGTACACAATTATAGGACTACAATGCCATCTTAATTTCTGTGATTACATCCTATGGAATCCTAAAGTTTGTAGATGGTGAGGCACAAGAGTGCTCTGGCAGAGAATTATAGATACACGTCACTGGGCTTCAAATCCTAACATTCCACAGCAGAAAACTGGGGAATCCCAATGCTCAGACTTTGTACAGTCAACCCACAGGTACTGATTTATCTTTTGTGGATTTGATTATGCGTGGAATTGAATGAGAACCTAGAGAGGAGTTATCTCAGGTAAAAAAAGGGTTTTTTATTTGCAGTTTTTCCACTTTGATAGGAGTCCTGTATCACAACCTCTCATGGAAATGGAGGACCTACTGTAGTGTTAAAGAAACACTAGAATTAGAATTGCCCCATGACCAAGCCTTGCATAATTATATTTGAATAGAAAATCAATACCCCTTACTTTGTCCCCAACTTTAAATTATTCTGCCTCTTATTATCTCTTATTCAGAAGTACTGAAGCTCTCATTTTGGTGTTTTGTTGGTAGCAGGAAAATGCCTATCATTTTCTTATTATCAGAACTGTGCTGTGCTGCAGCTCGCATTCAGTCCTTTATATCTTGATTTATCTAAAATGCTGTTCATGCTGAGTAAATGGGAAGCAAAATATAATGCTAGAATACTGTTATGTATTACAGCATATACTAGTTAGATTATTAGACTACCAGACTTCCCTTCTCAGGAAACACATTATTGAGTCAATTATGACTAGAGGGAAATGAAGATAAAACATTGGCTAGAGATTTATTTATTTTTTTGGTGGCGGTTGCCAGGAAAGGGGATCAAGGTAGTTAATGCAAAGAGACTTAGTGCCCTTCTACACAGACACTAAAATCAGGCCTGAAGCTGTCCTGAAGTCAGGGCATCTACAAAACGTACACTCCCCCCAATGTGAGTTACATCACAAATCATGCTGGAAACAATGTGTTAAAACATGAGATATCCCAAGTTAAGCCATAACATCTGATAAAGCTTATCTGTGTATAAACAATGCATGGCAGGAAGCTGAATGACAAATGCGAAGCACTTCCCAAACATATTCTTTATTAAACACACACACACACACACACACACATATTTACACACACACAAAGAAGAAAAATGGAGAAGTCAGGTGTAAAAGAAAAGGAAAAAGAAAAATATTTAAAGGGGTGAGATTAGGATAATGGAGCGATTGTTAGTAATTTAGCATCTTTACCAATATCTAATATGTAGTAGAGGAGAGGGGAGGAGTTGAGGGGGCAGGAAATGTACAGAGTTGTAATCATTACATCTATTTTTCCATCTCTATTACACTCATAAACATTACTTAAATTATTAAAAGTTCCATATGTCCTCTATATAAAAAAGAGAGCACTTATGTATACATGGATCAGATTGTGGTCACTGTTCCATCCAGTTTGTGGGGTGCCTGTGTAGGCACTCCAAAGTGGACCAGATCTCTTCTATTTACATTCTTTTTTCTTTTTCCCCTCATTTTTATTTACCAATCAAAATGTATAAGCATACATCCTTTCCCCATTTTACAATATCTTGGACAGGGAAATATGCCATATTTTTAATAGTTACAGGAGCATAGGTTCAATACATGGAGGAGGAAGAATATCACATTGTTCCAGTGCTAACTCACACTATGCCATATGCAGCTGCCTTATGTTCAGTTCCTAGTGTTGACTGAGCAATGAGAGGATGGGAGGAAGGTATCTTTTGTAGCAGAAGGCCAGCAGCACATAGCATTCAGATTTTTCACCAAAAGTAACCCAAAAGTAAAATAATAATAATTATTAAGCTACTTTAAGAAAATGGGAAAGTAGAGGTTACTCTGAAAAGTTCTATTACATAACACACTATTTTCTTCGGTCCCAGAAGTGCAATGATAAATAATTAGATACACAGTTTTAGACATAACATTTCAAGCTCTGATTCTGTTTACTCAAACTACCTTATCTTCTATTGAATTGCATTAGAATTGTCTCATGTTTTAAGAACTTGTCTACTGTTCTTGTATAATCTCTTTGTGTTCCATGTGAAGGCATGATAGCAAGTTACATAATATGAAAATCTGCCTTTTAATATTTTAAAAAAATCATATTTATCCAAATCACCCAGGGATAATTAGGGAAATTTAAGGTTTCTTCTCTGACTATTGCAGTGTCCTCGTATTATTGTAATATTGCAGAGGCCCTCAAACTAAGGCCCAGGGGCCGGATATGGCCCTCCAAGGTCATTTACCCAGCCCTCGCTCAGGGTCAACCTAAGTCTGAAATTACTTGAAAGCACACAACAACAACAACAACAACAACAATCCTATCTCATCAGCCAAAGCAGGCCCACACTTCCCATTGAAATACTAATAAGTTTATATTTGTTAAAATTGTTCTTCATTTTTATCATGACATTGTT